AAAAAGAAAAAATAAAAACCTGAAAGCTTTCAGATTTATATATTGCGCCCAAGAAGGCTTTTTTTTTTTTTTAAACGTTTTGTGTGTTACCTTTATTTATTAAATATCATGATCTTCGCACTCAAACCATAAAATTCAGTTCAATAGCAATATCGCAAAATAATTTTAGAATGAGCCTATCATTAAAATTTCCGATGCCCAGTCTCGCGCGCTGGAGATAAAAATATTTTTTTTTCATACAGTTTTGCCATTGCTCGCTTTCAAATAATTGAGTCTGTTAATAAAAAATTGGTTAAAGTTTCGTAAAATATAAAATAGATAATAAAACAAATTCCTAATCCCGAATTTGGGCTTCCAGATGCTCATATTCAGGTGGAAACGTACGTTATTCAAAATTGGATGGCTCTAGGTAGCGTTGTTTTATCACAATCCGAAATCATACACACATTTATGCAGAGTCTTCATTACTTAATTTCTTTAAAGATAATACCGGGCTGTAATATTTGGTGGCAACAGTTTGAAAAGTGAACCGACATATCAACGGAAAATGCCAAAATAAAATTAATATCCCTTCTAGGCAAATTGTCCTATTGCACCAAAAACTTTTTTTTTTTATCTCCAGCGCCCGAGAGTGTGTATCGGAAATTGTAAAGATATGCTATTTTTAAATATTTGGGATACTGCTGTTGAATTGAATTTTATGGATAAGTTCGAAGAACATGATATTTAATAAATAAAGTGACACACAAAACGTTAAAAAAACGCCCCTTTAGGCGCAATGTGAAAATCTGAAAACCTTTTTTTTTTTTGTTGTTTTTTAAGTTTACAAATAGGGAAAATAATATCCAATGGCAACTGCGCTGGTTTAAATGTAAAGCTCCCGAGTTCAGAATAAACCAAACAAGCAAAGCGTTCTGTCGACAAGATACGTATCAGAGGTGGGGATCGAAACTCCGCCACGGATTAATCGATAGCAATCTTTAAGTATCGAATGTCGCCAACAAAGAAATTATCTCCGGAATTACAAACAACTTTTGGAACTTTTTAGGGGAAATATAGGGGGCTGAAAACATAGTTGGAAGCGCCTGGTCAACAGAATACGGTGTTGCCGCAACTTAAATGTGGGAGGGAAAGAGAAAAGGAGATCCAACAAGTAGGATTTTGTTCGAATTACATTTGCCGGTCTTACTTCAGAAAGGTATCGTATCTTTTTTTATCTCACGAGGCGAGCAAACGAACATGCCCTGTGTGCCCGTGACCTTAGAGAGCTGAACGTTAGTGTGCGCCAAGCGCATTTTGCAAGCCAAATTAAAATCCAATAATTCCAATAAAAACTGCTTTTTATTTAAATAATTGTACTCTGATATATGTTACTTAAAAATATATAATATTTATTAAACATAAACCGAAATACCTAATACATAAAATTAAAATAAAAATTCTGATGATATTACGTGACTGCCTTGTATGGCCTATTAAATTATAAAAAATTTTTGCTGCACTTCGTTTAAACTTATTTTCTCGCACTTTTCTAACTTAACGGAACTTTCAAAGCAAGTTGAAAATGACATAAAAAATTGGAAATTTTGATATTAAATCTTCCGGCCAAATTTTGTCTTCTCCAAAATTATATATATATATATATATATAAGAAGTTTTCAGATTTTTATATTACGCCCAAAGGGGCGTTTTTTAACATTTTGTGTGTTATCTCTATCTGTTATCTTCAGCACACGGAAATCTTTGACATTTCTAAAGCATCGAATTTTGTTTAGTAAGTATGAGGAAATACACAAATGAAAATGACTTAGACTAAATGTGACTACTTCGAAACTAAAATTTACATATACTAACGTTTTGTGTGTTACCTCTATTTAATAAATACCATGTTCTTTGCACTTAAACCATACAATTCAGTTCAACAGCAGTATCGCAAAATAATTCAAAATGAGCATATCTTTAGAATCTCTGATACACAGTCTCGCGCGCTGGAGATAAAAATGTTTTTTCTTTTTATCTCCAGCTGGAGATAAAAAACGCTGCCATCGCTCGCTTTGAAATCCTTGAGTTTGTTAATCAAAAATTCGTTATGGTTTTACAAAATATGAAATCCATAATAAAACAAATTTTAAATTTGGGCTGCCATATTAGAGTGTAGACTTACGTTATTCAGGATTCGAAGGCTCTAGTTACCGTTATTTTATGACAATGCTAAAAACATACATACATTTTTTGCAGATTCTTCACTATTATTTAATTTTTTTATAATACAAGGGCGATAATATTTGGTGGGAGCAACTTGAATAGTGAAACGCCACAAAATGCTAAAGCGAAGTGGTTAATGTCCATTGGGCTAAAAATCTGACGACGCCACACGACTACCTTGTATGGGTATTAAATTATACACATTTTCTGCTGCACTTCATTTAAACTAATTTTCTTGAATTATATTCAAACTTAATTAACCAAAACTCTCAAGGCAAGTTGGATTGACATAAAAAATTGGAAAATTTTGAAATTTAATATCCAACTCAATTTTTGTCCTTTCCAAAATAATAATAAACCATATATTTTTTTTCTTTTTCACTCAGGGCCCTCCTTAGCTCTGCAAATCTACATTCTTTTTTATTTGTGCACAAGTGCCACTGAATCCCTACGGTACTGTTAGGAAATGACTTATATTTCAAGATGCAAAAGGCCGCCTAACCGGGATAGTGATTAGAGACTCTGACTGCTTTTGTATAGTGTCTGTGAGGCAGGGGGCCACTCTAAATATGCGGCGAGCCGAAAGTCTTTTCGAAATTTTCGGGTTAGGAGAAAAGGGGTGGGAAACTTTCGAACCTCTCCCCCTCCCCGAGATGCACTCTCTCAAAATAGGGGGCGGAACCGAGCTAAAGTGGGGCTGTCACCTGTATCTGGTGCTCAAGGCTTTCGCCAACGACAGACGCATTTTACTCCTTACCACTCCTTCTGCTGACCATTGTCAGATATAGATTGGTAACTACTACAACAAGAACATTGAGAAATTGGTAACAACAACACCAAGATACAGGCTTATTAGGAAATATAAAAATGGGATACATGTTTTCACGTATTTCTTAAATTAAAATTTCACTTTAAACACAGGCTTTAAAATAAGTGGGGCTATCTTTTGGGAGATGCTTCCCCCCCCCGCCCTACTTTACAGACAAATTCTACCGTAAAATTTTGCACAAAGCAATTTTTTGTGACGCGCCGCACTGGTTCTGCACACACGTGAAAGACGATATACCGCATTCGATTTAAAATTACACACATACGCATAAAGGCCCCGGGTCCTGGGCGCAATTAAAAACTGGGGGGTTCTTAAATTCCACTCTTTTTTAAAATTTTATTCTATTACTCGCGCCGTTTGAAGTACATTCAATACGTTCTGTGTTTGAGGAGGGACACGATATTTTTCTTTTCAAAGCAGAACGACGGTGGTGCTTAGCAGCTGTTTGCGAGAACGTACGTGCGTTGCCACCCGTTTTACATCTGCTCCCACGCACGCGCACCCCCTCCCTTATTTTATTTTACTTTACACTAGGACCCTACACTAGTGCACCACAAAGTAGGACTCCATTCGTGGAAAATTCCTCATAATTTTTTTTTTCATTTTATTTCATTGCAAATGAATTGCATTATGTAGACTTTTTAAAGTGGGACTAGTTCTTTCTTTCTTTTTTTTTTTAAATTTTTGTTTGCCAACATCATTTTCCCTGCAGGGGGCACGTTTGAAGTTAAGTGCTTGAAATAAGATACCACTCTTACTACAATGGATCGTGTATGTGTTTTCTCGGCTGCAGTGAAATATGCTCACCCCCCCCCCCACGTTTTGAGAGAGTTCTTTGGAAGTTAACTAAAAGGCTTTGAAATCTTTAATGGCCCTTCCAAAGACCTTGAAAAACTCTCTTGAAAGGTTACCGCTAGTAAAAAGAATACCGCTACTTTTCCGAATTTAAAAAGATAACTACGCTGTACTAATATTTTCCGCAAAACTTTTTAGAGTGCCAATAAAAAGACAAGTTTTTGAACAACAGTTTAAAAGTTGTTGTTCAAAACAAGGAATTCAAGAAAGGAAGCTTCGCAGTTTCCCAAATATCCGAAAATGGAATCTGCAATACAAGCGGTGGCAGTGTTTATAAGATCAAAACATTTATCTACGGCAGGTGTATAGAATACTACAAGAGAAATCAGAATTATCGTCGCTGTTTTTGGGTAATCGAAAATTGTCATTTGGGTAGAATACAGCTACGATCGCAAGTGACTCCTAAATCTGAGAAATTTATTGCAGTTTCAGTTGTTTAACGGTCTTAATTCCCCTCTTTTACATGCATTATTATTCCTTTTTTAGCCGAAAGGGGCGTCACTAAAAGCGTTGTATCACTTTTCAAATTGTTGCCAGCAAATATTTTCGATTACTTATTATATATAAAGAAATTACAAAATGAAGAATCTGCATGAATGTACGCATGTTTCTCGCAGTGTGAAAAAACTACGGTAACTAGAGCCATCAAATATTGTATAACCTAGTCCTGCACTCGCATGTGGGCATCTTGTAGACCAAATTTGGAATTTGTTTTATCATCTATTTCATATTTTGTTAAATTTTAACACATTTTAAATTGCAATTTTTCGGGTTTCGAACTGGGCCCTTCGGTAAGGCGGTCAGTGTTACTAACCACTGGCCCAGTTTTACGGCAGGAAGTAATATTGTGGCAGTTAGGTGTCGTTTACCTACGACTATTTTTCATTAGTTATGTTCTTGCTGTAACCGTGTCCTTCGGATTTTTAATCCAACTAAATTAAATACAGAAAAATTAAAACCGATTTTGTTTCTGCTTGGCTTTAAAACGTGAAAAGCATTCATTTATCGTCTCAGTAATAGTGACTAGAAAAAGAAAATATTGCATGACCAAAAAAAATGGAAGAAATGAAATTCAGAAATAAAAAAAAAGCGCAAACTTCGGTTTCTGTACCTTGAGGTTCTTACCTCCACTTCTGCTTCGACGTGCCTCTCGTGCTGTGCTCGGAACACCCTTTGCTTTTCTTCGAAATCTCGCAGACGCTGGTTGTACCTCTCGATCTGTTCTCGAAGCAAAGTGTCTTCGATCTGGAATTCAAAATAAAAATTAATAAATAAACAATTTTAAAAAAACTGAAAGTCTTCAGATTTTAATGGTCGCCTAAAAGGGTTTGTTAAGGTTTCTTACACTCTCGCTGAGCTCGCTAGTCTGCTATTACATTCACTCCTATTAATTCAATATTTTTGTGTCTTTTTAGCTTTATTTTTAAGCATCATTTTCTTCACACATATCCCATATACAATTCAATAGCAAAATTACAAAAAAATTAATAGCAGCGTAGCAGTATATGTTTAGAAATCCCTGGAGCAGCATTAAATGTTCGCATATGTTTTTCTAGTTCACCCTCACCCTCCAGTCTTTTCTCAGCTCATCATATCAATGTTCAGTTTTCTTACTAAGTTGGTTTACAAAACTTTGTCTTTTTATTATTAACGTTTCGCGTGTTAATTTTATTTCATTTTAAAATTTTCGATACACAAAACTTTTGGTCAGAACAAGTTAATTTTTTGTCACAGTGGACAAATTTAAAATTTATTAATTTATTTTTATTTGTTATTCAAAAGTTTTCATTTTGTAGGGAAAAAAAAGGAACCCCTCACCCCACCTCAGTTGTTTCCGTCTACATGTAATTTGAATCTGACACCCCTGCCTTATTTCCTCGTTTATAGTGTATATGTACAATGCTGTACAGTGTGTACAACACTGTACATATAAGCATATACTGTACATATAATCATATATGTACAGTGTAGTACACTGTTCAGTTTGTAATATGTTTATTTACTTTTAATTTCATTCAACCTACCTGTGCCCTTTCTTCGTCGTATTCCAAGCAGCCTACACCGTCGAGCCTCTCAAGGTCGAGCCAGCCCCTCCACCTTACGCAAACTCCATTCATGATGAAACATGACTTGATATGAACCTAAAAACACAAAAAGAAAAAAGAACCCCTTGTTAATACACTATAATAAAACGAATTTTAAAAATCATTTTTTGACCCGTATTAAGACATAATTTTAATTTAATTTATTTCTATTTTTAGAAGGGAAAAAAATATTAAATTCTGTATCCACCATAAAACAGTGTGATACATACAACCTCATGTGACGAAAATATCCAGCGACACAAATAATTAAATGGTCTCATGCAAAACGTATCGTATCTAGTAATAACGGGCCAACCAGTGGCCGAGCGGTAAAGTCACTGAACACTGGTATTTCGGTCGGAGGTTTAATTCTTGAGAGCGTGAGCGCTGCATAGGCATTTTCGTAGTTTTCCCGTATGTAACGTTATAAGATATTTCTCCTCCTTTCCTAGCGTGCCTTCGTGGTGTAACGGTAGCACGCTGGGCTGGCCGATATTCCAGAGGTTCGTGGTTCGATTCCCGGCGAAGGCGGTTGCTAATTTTTCATCTCTCTGGCTTCCCAAAAATCCTAATGTCTCTACAACGTATAAATGCCGGTTTTCTTTAAAAAGACCTCCATGAAGGCATCCCTCCCCATAGGCACACAGCCCTCGAGGTGCTTTGCCATAATCAAATAAAAATAAACGAAACCATACTATAAAGGTATTTTTCCCGCCTTCTTAGCATGCCTTCGTAATCGTAAAATAGAAAGTTGGTGAAAAAACTTTTGATGGTTCACGCTGTAATGAAATTCCATAAAATATCCTACAGCGGGAATTAATACAAAATCAATTTATGTATTCAGAAAATCGCTTGGCAATAATTCTGCGAAGCATATAAATAAAAGAAAAAAAGACACGCGCATCGAGATAAGCAGATGCACAAGAGAAAGAGAGACAACAAATAACACGGCCATCAACTTAGCACTTTTGCCCGTGGCAACACTACAGTGGCACATTAACACGGCGCACCTATTGCAAAGAAGTGTGAAAATTAGACTGACAATAAATTACAACTTTCTTTCGTTCTTCTTCTTCTTCTTTTTTTTTTTTTTTTTAGTCCAAAGGGATTTCAGTCCCGAAGGACTATTGCTTTCGTTTTGGCATTTTGCGTCGGACTCATAAACGTCGGTTCACTTTTCAAACTGTTGCCACAAAATGTTAGAGTCCTGCATTATATTTGAAGAAATTAAATAATGAAAAATCTACATAAATGATTGTCTATTTCTCGCATTGTGATAAAACTATGGTACATAGAGCCATCGAATTTTGAATGACGAATCCTACTCCACTGCGAATATGGGCATCTGAAATCCCAAATTTGGAATTTGTTTTATTATAGATTTTATATTTTGTAAAACTTTAACGAATTTTTTGATTTACAAACTCAATGCTTTAAAAGCGAGAAATGGCAACGTTATATAGAAAAAAAAAAATACTTTTATCTCCAGCTCGCGAGACTGTGTATATCGGAAATTCTAAAGATATGCTTAATTTAACATTATTTTGCGATATTGCTCTTGAACTGAATTTTATGGTTTAAGTGCAAAGAACATGATATTTTATAAATAAAGGTAACACTCAAAACGTTAAAAAAACGCCCCTTTGGACGTAATTTAAAATCTGAAAAATTTCAGATTTTTTTTTTTTTTTTTTTTTCCCTTTCTTTTTCAGACAACTATTTTTGCCGAATTATACGTTCGTTCTTCTTTCTTATTAATAGCATTCTCTCTTTTTTTTTTTTTTTTTTTTCCCCCTTTCTTTTTCAGACAACTATTTTTGCCGAATTATACGTTCGTTCTTCTTTCTTATTAATAGCATTCTCTTTTTTTTTTTTTTTTTTTTTTTTTTTTTTTCCCCTTTCTTTTTCAGACAACTATTTTTGCCGAATTATACGTTCGTTCTTCTTTCTTATTAATAGCATTCTTTTTTTTTTTTTTTCCCTTTCTTTTTCAGACAACTATTTTTGCCGAATTATACGTTCGTTCTTCTTTCTTATTAATAGCATTCTCTTTTTTTTTTTTTCCCTTTCTTTTTCAGACTACTATTTTTGCCGAATTATACGTTCGTTCTTCTTTCTTATTAATAGCATTCTCTTTTTTTTTTTTTTTTTTTTTTTTTTCATTCTCCTGTTAATGAACTATAGAGCGGTGATGAAGGATTTATAAAAAATATAGCAAAAGTTTATCCTTATCTGCATATCGTATTTTGTATGAGAGTGTAAACTTTGAGCTAAATATATATTTACTTATGTGAAAGTAGTAATTAATTATTTACATACTTCCTTACTTATATCTACTACGTATTTTCTGATTTGCCTTTTATTTTTACTGCATTTCCTAGCTATTAGCCCCCCCCCCGCAGCTTTTCAGCGCGAAATTCTGGAAAGGAGAAGTTATTGTTTTCACGTTTCTTTTTTGTCACCAGGAACAAAATTAAGGGCGACATCAGAAGCGAAGCTGATGCCACTCAAATCTGCATAATAACTTTCATTTATCTTCCATATGAAGCTTATTCAGTTTAAAATATTAAGATCTTGCTTATGAGTGTAACAAATATTCATTTGTTTTAAAACAATCTCTATTTTTTACAATATAACATTTTTGGCAAAAAATTTCGGGTCTTTGAAATATTTCATTTAAAGGATAAGACAATTCGAAAGAAATGCAAAGTTAATTTGTTTCTAAGAGGAACAAAATTAAATCCTTGTAGCATTTTCTTTAAAGGATTATGCCATTTTGTTTTTAGAATAAAAATTTCTCAATCTTTGCAACATTTCCTAATACTAACTTATGTTCAGAATAAAAAATTTTAAATCTTCGCTACATTTCTTTTAAAGGATTACGCAATTAAAAAAATGCACTGCCAATTTTTTTTAGAATAAAAAATTTAAAATCTTCACAACAATTCCTGATGCTAATTTTTTTTCAGAATGAAAAATTTCAAATGTTTGTAACACTTCCTTTGAAGGATATTGCAGTTCGAAAGAAATGCAATGCCAGTTTGTTCTTAGAAGAAAAAATTTCAAATCAGTGTAGCATTTCTTTTAAAGGATTTTGAAGTTCGAAAGAAGTGAAATGTCAATTTGTTTTTAGAACAAAAAATTTCAAAATCTTTGTAACATTTCCTTTAAAGGATATTACATTTCGAAAGAAATGCAATGTCAGTTTGTTTTTAGAACAAAAATTTCAAATCCATGTAACATTTCTTTTAAAGGATATTACAGTTTGAAAAAAAATTGCAGTGCCAGCTTAAAATTTCAACTCTGTGACATTTTCTAATGCTAATTTGTTTTCAAAATAAAAAAGTTGAAATCTTTGCAACATTCCTTTTAAAGGATTGTGTGTGCAATTCGGAATAAATGCATCACCAATTTCTTTTCAGAAGCTAATGAATTCGTATAACACAAGTATAAGGCCATGAACACGGCTTCCATTTCAGCTGCCATTACAACAAAAAGAATAAAAGAAATCGGACCAACAAAAAGCAGTTTCTCTAAACCGATTCAACGATGGCGATTAATCGATAAGCGACTTTTACGTTTCATCTTTTACTACGATGCGATTATGTCATAAAACACTTACACTCAAAGAAACGACTGAGAAAAATATAATAACAAAACGCAAAAGAAAATGGTCATGTTCGAAACATAAAGGACCACCCATGGAGCTGAGGCAGAAGAAGCTAAATTTTATTACCGCAATTAGAGCAGTAAATTACAACACTTATATTTCGACGCATGCGCCTGCCTCGTATAAGTGTTCCCCTATAAATCAATTGTCGGTATCGGAACCTTGACTGCGGTATGCATTAGCGGGATTTGGTGATAGCTTCCGGCGAATAAATTGAAGGCTATTATGATTGTATGATATTTATAGATAGCTAAATGTAGTAACAATAGCTCGACGTTCCTGCAGTTTGAAAGAAGTTATGTTATAACCACTGCTTTAAGAAATAACAAAGCAATTTACGATAGTCGTCCGCATGTGGACCAAAAGCAAAATCCGAAAGCAGCTGACGAGTCAGAATTAAAATAATAATAAATAAATAAAATAAAAATCTGAAAGGTTTCAGATTTCAAATTATGTCCAAAGGGGTATTTTATTTAACATTTTGTCCGTTACCTTGATTCATTAAATATCACAAAATCATTTTAAAATGAGTATATCTTTACAATTTCCGATACACAGCTTCACGTGCTGGAGACTTCTCTGTGTGTGTGTATACAGTGTTGCCGTTGCTCGCTTTGAAATCGTTGAGTTTCTAAACCAAAAACTCATCTATGCCTTACAAAATGCGAAATCGATAATAAAACTAATTTCAAATTCCACATTAGGGCTACCAGATACCCATATCCGGGTGGAGGACTATGTTATTCAAAATTCGATGGCTCTAGGTACGTTAGTTTATCACAATCCGAGAAACATGCATACATTCCTGCAGATTCTTCATTATATAGTTTCTTTAAATATAATCGAAATGATAATTGAAAAGCTAATAAGAATACAGGGCGATAATATTTGGTGGCAATAATTCGAAAAGAGATTCATACTTTTAAAGTTTTTGACGCAAAATGCGAAAACGAAATTAATAGCCCTTCTGGGTTAACGCCCCTTGGGCTTAAAAAAAATTGTAATTTTGCTAACAAAATAGAAATAATTTTTTGAAGCAAATTTAAAATTCTCTCATTAAATATTTGTCAAAACGTGCATAAAGAATAATAATATTAACATCGCAAAGGGAAAAAATCTGACCTAGACACAATATGACTTCCTTGTAGGGCCTATTAAATTATACACATTTTGGGGGATTTCATTTGAACTTATTTCTCCGAATTTCATTAGAGATGTATTTCTTTTTCAATCAATTCAGTTCTCACTTCGCGAAGGCAAAAATTCAGAAAAACTCAAAACATCTTCATTCAAAATTGTAAAATACAGAAAACTTTTTTTTTTTTTTTCATAGAAACACTAATTTTAATTGCAAAAAATGTTTTTAAGCAGTATTTGGTGTTTTTTA